TTTAAAAGAAAAAAAGTGTTCCGTGTATACGTTCTGGGGATTATAAAATATTTTACTAGCATATATTGATTATTTAATATTCAATTTATTCTGCCTAATTAAGGCCTCAATTTACTTTGAAAGGTATGAGATTGTGCACTCACAAAACATTAATAAGATGACTAAGCATTATACTAAGAGATTCTTTATTCTTCCACTCTGGAGTAGGATATCCACATACAACTTTTGTACCAATTAAAACTTGTTAATGACTAAACACTGCAATTGATTAGTCTTTGTATGTTTACAGCTCACTTTAATTGCTGAAAAACGCCATTTGTCAGCTTCATGTTGTATCGACAATGCTATTGACTTATCTGAATTTGGCTTTGTCTTGTCTCTCGTACATAAAACTCACATATGCAGTTCAAATGGGAAATGACTGTATTGATTTCCTTAACTTGAGCCCAAATGCTAAAGATTTTTGGATAAGCTTTCTCATTACTTAAGCCAAAATCAATAAGAAAGAGCATCTTTTAATGAAAGAGCAGTTTGAGCAACGTACTTCAGAAATAGGGTCCTGTTCATTCTTTGCTTTACAAATCGATCTCCTAGGTTCCTTAAGTGAGGTCCAATTGGTTGACATTGTGGTTTGTCTTTGTGTGTAAACTTGGAGCTTCAGAAAAGAGAAGCTGAGCTATGTAGACAGTAGAAGGAACATGCTCCCTGGGAAAGAAGGTATCTGCTACTAGGTGGAAAATACAGCAGGCAACATGACTTACAATCACAACAACACTGTTTCACATGCTTTAAGTTTATGCTGATGCATTTCATGACTGCACCTCCTTCATTACCTCATTTTCTTAACAATTCTCTATTAATGTTATATGCATTCATTTCATACATTTCAGTGTTATTTCAGTATTAGCTTGTAATTAAGTAAATATGTCTGCAGGTTGGTGCAGTTTATATATTGTAAAATAATTTATAGAAATATTAGGCCATTTAAAAATGGGTACTTTTTTGAGTGATAGGTTATTTTGTGTGTGTGTGTGTGTGTGTGTGTGTGTGTGTGTGTGTGTGTGTGTGTGTAATACTTCATCTTCAGGAAGACACACATAGAAAATGCACTAAACACATAATGTTCCTGTTCTGAGGAAGAGCAGGAAGAACTGAACACATAAAACAAGTGTGGACAGGTCAGACGTCAGGTACTATACTACGATACCATTAACTCCAAGAACTACATAAATTAAGCTGATTATGCCTTCACTTAATTAACTGACAATGACCTATTGATGCATAGGCCGAGTGAGCTAGAGACCGCCTGCTGCACTGTACTTAATTTATTGGTTTTCAATTAGTTCTTCTCTTGCCTGTGATTGTTGAGGAAAAAAGTCCATTTACATCCGTGTCTTGTGGTATGCTTTTATGCACAGTGGATTTATATTTAAACCTATCTTCTCAGTCATTATCATTATTAAGAATGTTAAAGTTTATGTAAGTACTTGTTTTTAAATTGCTTCATATAATTTGATTTCTGATGGAATAAATATGCTAATTAATTCTATTACAGGGACATGATATAAAATACTGTTAGATGAGGTTTACAAAGATCTCATATTCATTTCAAGTGTCTTGCTTTAGTAAACTTTATTTTTTTACCAAAATTGCTGAAAATATGTTTTTTTATAAGAAATAGGCAAACATTATAGGTTTCACTGTTTTCTATTTTAAAGAGTTTTCTTAAATATAAGGATTATACTCTGAGTTGCAGCTCTGAAATTTTTATAGTAAGTAAAACTTATTGTATTCAACATACTTTCAGGTCAAATTTTCCTTCAGATTTTGACATTACAGGTACAATATAGCTGCTACATCTTACTCTGTTGCTATTTGCTCTGTAGACTGTCTAATCTACTATTTTGAGTATAATTATTGATCATTCTTAATGTTGTCAGCCTTTTTTCTTGAGAGTACAGCATCAGATACTCCTTGTCTGTAGGTATTATAATTATTTGTGATTACCTATTATTATATGCGCCTATAAATTACTAATGTACAGGGTCACTGAAAATATGAAAGTAAATAAAATATAAAGGTAACATGTTAGCCTGCTGTGGTAAGCCATGCATGTTTTTCGATCTCAAGTTTGCATTTGGGAATAGAGTTAGCAGAGGAACCTGGCTTCGGAGCTCCATTTAGAACTGTCAGTTCTCATCGGTGGACATGTTACTTGTTTTGGAAGTTCAGAAGAGATAAATGTTCCCGTGAACTGGGGAAGTCAGGAATGGATTAACAACTTAATTGCTCATACAATACACATGGGTAGCACTCTATTGTCCATGTCTTTAAGTTCAGTGTCAAATACACTATGCATATACCCTATATTAGCAGAGGAATTTTGAAGTTATTTTAATACTGGTTTATTTTCTTATTCATTTGTTATTTTCCTACTTTAAGCTTTTTCTCTAGAGAAAGAGCAATTGAGAGGGAAATAATAAGGTATAAGTGACTTGAAAGGGGAAATGGGAATAAAACAGAGATGGACTTTAATTAGGGTAAGTCAAGAAACAGTAATATAGAAGACAGAGGGAGGAAGATAAAATAACAGGAAAGATGTCTAAAAAAGGCATAAAGAATTATATTATTATTTATCTACCTAAAATTACATATAATGTGCATAAGTCTGTATAGACAACAACATATATAGTATAAATGGAAGCTTATGATCCAAGCTGACTAATGCTTCCCAAAGAGCTATAGACTATCTAACAGAAAGCCCAATACTATTGAGAAGCCCCCATTTGAATTGTTGGTCAGAGTTTCCCAGGAGACTCCCCAACCTGCATTTGCCATTGTCCTTGGTGCATTCCAGAGGTCACAGGCAAATCCCTATTGCTGAAAATACCATGTACTTTAGACAAAAGGTCTGAAAGGACTGAGATATTTTGAACTGAAAGCCTCCTCACTGATAATTAGCTTTCATGATTCTAGAAGGCATCATGCAACTTCTAAGGGGGGGGGAGAGCAACCGAAATTCCAACCCAGATATGCTGTCTATGAAAACAATAACCAGCATGGAATGACATCCCTTAGGTCACAATAGTGCCACACATGCTGTTGTGGTAATCAGTAGCTCTCTAAGTGGACTTCAAACCTATTCAACAAGAAGGAACTCATGCCTAGACTAGACACCTGGTCATGTAGCCTAGGTTATTAGAGTCATGATCCTGAAGGAGAACATACAACTACCACTTTACTAAACCACTATAATCCAAAAACTACATTCTAAATATTTACCCTATATCCACAGATAAGTGTATTCCTCACCCTCATCAAAAAATGTCTTTTCAACCTACATAGACCTTTACAGAAAACCATTACTGATCAAATACAGAGACCAAGTGATCATGTCATGCCCATCCCAACCAATAAATCTGTGTATAGTACAACTCCTCAAGATAAGACTCAGGATTCATAGCCAAAGAGCAGGTGGAAAGATTGTCAAAACAAGAGGAACAGGAAGTTTGCTATGAGATTGTGTCTTCTAGAAATGTTAGAAAAGCTATATCCAAGAAGACTCATCAACATGGCTGCCTAAACAAGAACTGAACAATGAAGGCAGCAATAGTCATGCTGACATGGAAGGGGGAAAACTCATGGGGCCTCAATCTTATACAAAGAACTACCAGCAATTAAAAAATTTGGGATAATTGTCTTCTCTTGGGAATTTATATGTATCTTGATCTATCTATCTCTGTCTCCATAGCTATATATCTATCTGTACACACACACACACACACACACACACACACACACACATACATATATATGTATGTGTGTGTGTGTGTACAGGCAACAGAGATAGAGTAATATATATTTAGATATTTAGATATTCACAGGGAGGGAAAATATCAGGAGGGTGGCTGCCCCTGCTCAGGTGAGAAACAGCAGAGAACTGAGCAGAAGGCAGAGCTTATGTAGAGTTTCTTGAGAAGTGGAATGGAACTTTTAAGAGTGAAGATTTCTAGAGTGGGGATTGTTGGAATTTCAAGTCCAGAGATTGGGCTTTTTGCTTGGTAGTGTCAGGGGCTGGGCCCAGCAGTTAAGGCAGTTAGAGTATTCTATGTGTGGGTCCTGGCAGTTGTAGGTATTCAGGGGAGGGGCCTGGTCACTCATGTGGCTCAAGAGGCTTACCTTCACTCCCTTTTTATTATTGATAAACAATCATGTCCTGGGAAAGGGGGTGATTTTATTATTAGATTATTTCCTGTTGAACTGGGACATTGGAGTGTTGGGGTGAATGTGATCTTTGCCATTAGTGTGTAATTGGAGTTTGCTGGCCTCTGGCTCTCTAGTTAGTGGCCAGTAATCCTTTAATAGCAACTGCTTTTAAATTCTGGTTAGAAATCTTTTGAATTCCGCTTGGTGGTGGTGCACGACTTTAATTCCAGCACTCGGAAGGCAGAGACAGGTGAATCTCTGTGAGTTCCAGGCCAGCCTGTTGTTCTATAGAGTGAGATCCAGGACAGGCTCCAAAGCTACAGAGAAACCCTGTCTTGAAACAAACAAACAAAAAAAAACAAAAAAAACTTTTGAATTTATGGTTGAAGTAATCTAGACAAGAGGTTTATAAGGCAGGTGACACTAGCGGGATTAAGAGAAAAGCAGAAGGGGTTAAGGAGGGTAGTATATAATTCCATATTGGACTGTCAATGAGCCACTGTCTAGAGGCATTGAGCTGTTTCTTACGGTTTTAGAGATCCATCTAGAGTTGTTGGATCTTGTCTTTTACTATACATGACCGGCTGGCATGGAAGCAACATTCCACCCTGAGGAAGACACAAAGACCACCTCCTTCTGCTGTCAGTGAATCTAATCTTCACTGATTTTGTAACACTTTGGTGGCCCATAAATCTATTTGGCCCTAGAAGGTAAGAATTGCTGGAGCCACCCATTGGTGATCCTGGATGAACTGAGAGAAAACCGATGATAAAAAGCTAGGGGAGTAGTCAGTCCTGCTGCTCCAGTGGCGATGCCAGCAGTTATACCCAGGACTCCTGGAGAAAGGGTAGGACCTGAAGTGCCCATTTGTTATGCCATGCGATGCGAATTGGCAAGGGTTCTTCACCAGGTACCACCTAAGTGGTTCTTATACTACCAAGTTCAGCTATCAGTATGAGTTACATTCATGTGTGAATATATGGAGTTGCACTTTAATTATCAACCCTGTTCTTTGTGATTTTTGTTTTCAGGACAGAAATTGTACAAAAATAGAAAAAACAGGCAAAGAGGTAAAGCCCCAGTGACAGTGAGATGGATAAGTGAATTATAGGGAACCAAACTGGCCTTTGACAGCTAACATAGAGCAATTTCCCTACTCTATTAGGACGGGCTATTGGTTAGAGGTGGGAGGGGGGATCTTGATATGTAAGAGTGACCCTGGACAGGTATACTTAGGAAGAAATAGAGGAGGAGAAAGCATGTTTAGCTGTAACAGATTTTCAGATCATTTGTTTGCACACTGGCAGAAGTTGTGGCCATTGAAAAAAAAGCACACCAGTTTAGGCCATTGAACAGTACTGAGGCCAAGCTGTTTGTAGTAAAATGGAAAGTATTTAATAAAATCTGAGTCAGTGAAGAAAGAGAGGAAGGGTCATAAACGAACTCTGCTTGGGGGGTAGTTTATGTAAGTTCCAAGTGGAGACTGAGAGGCAAGAGAGAAGCCCAGGAGTGCATACAAAAGCTGTGAGACTTCCAGGATGGAGCTGAGAGACAGGAGAGACAAGGTCACAGAGGCCCAGAAGAGCTTAAAGAAGCTGCAGGACATGGAAGATAGCTCCTTTTGAGAGGCAAAGAAAATTGCTGCACATAGGCCCAGGAGAGCACTAGGAGAAATAGACCAAGTAGCTCCAAGGGAAAGAGGGCAAGAAAAGGTCTCAGAACCTGGAGCATGAAGGCAGCTCCTAGGGGAGGCGAGGAAGTTACAGAAGGAGCTGAGAGAAGCCATGAGGGAGCAGAGGGCTAAGTGTTGTGATAGCAAAAATGTCAATCCAGGGTGTTCTCAAGTGGGCTGAGAGACTTGGCAGAGAGAAACGTCCCAAACCAAAGAAGAGAGGCATCCCTTTCTATGTGATGGGAGCCTGGCAGGGCAAGAGGAAGTGTCCTAGCACACTGATGTGTAAAGTAAACAAAGCAGGGAGCTCTGCAGTGACAGTAGAGGGGGGAGACAAGCGGTTAGAGCAGGTAGATGAGAACATAGCTGAAGAATTGAATACGTGGTAGGGCCCTGAAGGGTGTTTCAGGGAGTATTCCCACGCGGTGGACAGGGCATAGTGGGGAGATGCCCACTTGGCAGGTGATCCAAAAGGGCAGAGCCAGGAGCAAAGACATTGAGTAAGTAAGGAGACATGGATGGTTAGTTAAGGTGAAGAGAAGCAGCTAAAGAGGCAGATTCTAGAATCAAATCTGGTGGGTGACAAAAGCCAGAAGAAACAAATAATTGGTGCATACCTTAGGAGCGTCAGATCAGTAGCTCGACGCAGTTTGAAATGTTGAGGGCATGGCTGACAGTTAAGTGTAGCATTCCCTACCAATGCTAACTGAAGAGAGACACTTGTATGTTAGGGGATGGGGCAGGTGGTGAAAAGAGATGACAATAATGGGTAGCCTGAAGGTTAATCTTTTTTATTTGTGTATAAGTTCAGCTGCAGCCAGAGCACACAGGCAAGGTGCCCATCTTTGGACAGTATGTTCTAAATTTTTGATAAGTATGCAATGGATGCACAGGAAGGTGCCAGTTGGTGACCCAGGATACTGAGGGCACATCCCTCCTCTTTTTTCTCTGTAACCCAGAGAAAGAAGGGCAAGTTAAGCCTGAAAGATGGTCTGTTGAAGCATATGAAATGGCTTAGTAGTGAGTGTAAGAAGGGGTTTATGTGAGGGGCCAGGGGCCATCTCATATAGGGTATGGTCAAGAAGAGAGCAGGAAGGAATCTAAAAACATAAGAAGCTGGCCATCCCTAAGAACGGTAGAATTTCATCCTTGGAGGTGGGAACTCTGAGTGATTGAATTAAGTGTTTTCTATCTAGGGTAATGGACTTGTGAGTTGGAATGATAGCTAATCCCAGATAAGAAACCCTGAGGAGTGGACAGCTGGATCTTAGCAGGTGAGACATTATATCCCCACCTGTTTAATGTGCAGGGATGGACTCGGAGGTTAGAATTTTGCCAAATAGATGTGGGATGTGCTGGAACCCCTGGGATTAGTCTGGTCCAAGTAGGTTGAGTAGAAATGTGAGTGTCTGGGTTAGTCCAAGTAAAAGTAAAGATGTTTTGTGATTGGAGATAGAGAATAAGTCAGAGGCTAGAGCCTGACCAAACGAATGTGCGGTTTGTTGAGGCTGGTAAAGCTGTCACCCTACTTTGAAAATAAAGAGAAGGAAAGGTGGATCCCTAAAACCCCATCAGGACTAAGTAGATGGCCCCAGTGTCCAGAAGGGAGAAGTGGATCTCCCTGATAGTGTAATATTTACCCTATGCTCCCAGTCAGTGGTGGCAGTGGTCCTGTAAAGGGAGCCTGGACCCTCTCAGTCGTCCATGGCCAGATGTAGGATGTCAGATGAAGGGTCATCTGGGCTTGATGTGCCCATGCCACAAGAGACATGGGGGCAGTCAACACGCCAATGCCCTTCTTAATGGCACCTTGTACATGATCTGTGGTGGTTTACATGGGTTCAGAAAGGCCTGGGCTCAGGGACCATTCTGACTGCCTTCAAAACAGGAATCTGGAGGTTCTTGGGCTTTGGGAGGCCATGGAGCCTTGGCAGTTGCCATGGCCAGTCAAAAGGCCTTTGCTAGATCAGATACTTTTGTTTTGGGGTATTTTGCTTTCATCTCTTTCATGATATATCTTGAAGGTGACAGCTAAGGTTTCTGCCTGTGGATCTAAGGGTCCTCTCTCTAGAGATTTAAGTTTGGCCTTAATGTCAGGGAAACTCTGAGAGAAGAAGTAGGTCATCAGAAGTTATTTTCCATCCAGGGACTGAGGATCCACATAGGTATATTGTAAGAGGGTCTTTGTAAGGCAGTTGAGGAACTGAGATGGGTTTTCATGCCTTTCTTGGATGACCACCTTTTCATAATTTTCTATCTTAAGGGAAGCCTTTCAGAGACTGGCCAGGAAACAAGTTATTCCTAGCAAGGATGCCTCCTGGAGTATTGAAATTCCACACAGGGTTCTAGTCTGGGACTCAGCCTTGACTGGATGGGCAGGCTGTCACAGAGAAGGGAGGAATAGAAACCAGAGAATCTGGAAAGGAAGAGAAGTGACTGTGGGTTGAGGTAGATAAAGGGGAGGCTTTGTTAGTGTGATTAAAAATAGTGGATGAATCATCTAGTTTTGGTCTCACAGCAAGGAGGAGCTGTATTTTCCTTGGTTAGCTTATGTTGTATGGTGATTTTAAAACAGAAGTATTACAGCCCTTTTCAGGGAAAGGTTTCCCTAATGCAAGTGTATTAACTCTAATCCTTCAAAAAGGGAGGGTACCCAGTGAAAGTGTTTTTCTGCTCTGCTCTGCTCCAGTACCCACAACTCTGAAGGGAAGATGGGAGAAGAGGGCGGGAAGAGGTACAATAGCCTTGTTTGGCCTAAGGAAACTGAAAGATTGCAGCTCCAAGGGTTAGGGTATGGGATCAAGTGAAGAGGGCCAGCTGTAGCCTTAGAGACAGTGGCTGAGGGTATGTCAGCCTCCAAAAGTACCAGAGGGTATTGGACACTCAGTGGTCACTTCTTCAGACTCAGGGAAATATTGACACTGACCAAAGGGGAAAATTATCTAATTGCTGCTTGTGGATGAGGTACTGAGCAATGAGTGAGCTAGAGGTGAGTCTGTTGAGGGTGGACTAGAGATGAGGACAGGGTCGCAGTGAAGCTTAGGGAAAACTCGGGCACAAGGAGAACCTATCCTGGGTTTCATCACCAAATGTCAGTGTTACAGCTTGGATGGAAATGGAAAGGTATCTTGGCATTCAAGAGCCAAGGAATATCACAAAGTCACACCACATAACAAACCTCAATACAAGAAATTTATTGGAAGACAAAAAGAACCAGGAGTGTGACTGACTCTGCTCAGGCTGGAAACAGTAGAGAACTGAGCAGAAGGCAGGACTTATATAGAGTTACTAGGGGATGGGAGGAAGGGGAACTTTTCAGGGTGATGCTTTCCAGGGTGAAGATTGGTGGGATTTCAAGTCCAAAGATCAGGCTTTTCATTCTGTAGTGTGTGGGGCTGGGTGCAGCAGTTAGGGCAGTTAGAGTGCTCTGTGGGTCAAACTGGCAGTTGGAGGTCCTTGAGGGAGTGGTTGGGCTACTTCAATGGTCTATATAGAAGAAAAACAAGACCTCTAAATGTTCATCTGCACTAGGTTTCAACAACTTCTCATACATAATTTTTATTACTGATCATTTTTAATATGGCCTCTAACCAGGAGGCACTTATTGCAGCCATGTATATAATTTGTGTGTTCTCAGATTTTAAAGAGTTTTCAGTCACTGTTATATTTTCATGGCAAGTTGACATGTATAGACATTTAAGAAATTTCTTACAAACATGAATAATTTCAGTATGTTATTAAACTGCAAAAGTTTAGACATTTATTTATGAATGCCATTTTGATATTTTGTATTCATTCTCTCATAGTTCCAATGTGGAAGGGACTCATTAGGACCCATTTAAAAAAAAATCTTTGTTTAACAAACCAAGATAATAAGGGCAGATGTGACAGGGCTTTCACAACTCTCTCTCTCTAAATATATATGTATATTTAAATGTATTGGCTAATACAACAGCATTATTAAAGTGCAAATTGTTGGACACATAATTTTCCAGAATATTAAATATATAAAATAGTCATAATTTAAAGTCCATGGATTTTGAGGGCATGATGGTGAAGAATATGTGCATGAGTAAATGTTTTTATAGTCATTCAGTTTGCTGACATTTGATCTTTTACTTGTTTTAATCATAAAAAAATTCTCTCAAAACCTCTTAATTATAATTTTCCTAAACTCGAAGCCCAGTACTCTTTATTTTGGATATTTTCATTGACTGAAAACTTTGCAGTAAGTAGTTCAGACCTACTAATTAGGAGATCCTTTTCTTCCCTCATTTGTTTATTCTCTGAGTAAAGCAACAGAACATTTGCGCTTTCATTCTATTCACGACAATTTAATTAGACATCTTTCAGAAGGTTCTAAGGTTATTGATATTTCCCCCAGATTAATGGCTTCACTCAATGTGTCTCTATAGGTTAGCATCCTTTTACGATAGAGTATGGGCATTCTCCCACAGGAACAAGCAACCAGCTTAGCAAACAGAATAATTGGTACTATTCTTTTCACACACACAAAAGTAAGTTAAAACAGGATAGAGCTTTTATCATCAATTGATTCTTAGAAGTCTTTTCTTGATATTTCAGCCCCAAGGCTTATATCAAAGTTGTTTCCTTCAATGTAGAAACTTCAAGCTTCCAATTCACCAGTCCGCAAACCCTGAGCATCAAAGCAGACCTGCCCTGTGATCCACGGCTAAACACTTACTTTCTTCAAGTGATGCTTAGTGCTCTGATTCAGCATCAAGATCTAAGGTTGCTGTTATGACAAGATAAATTAGGAAGCCCTACGATTACACCCTTTGGCCTCCACTGAGATCTTCCTGAACAGAAGCACTTGTCTCTGATTCCTCTTTGACACTTTATTGTTTCCATATGGCAGCCATTGCTCAGAATTCACACTTGACCAACAGACCACACTTTCCTGAGAGATTGACATGTGTGGAGCCTGCTGCTTCACAGGTTAGCTGCTGGGAGTTCATGGAAACCAAAGGCTCTGCAACTGCATAGTATCTTCTTTTTCACTATCATTTTATTTAATGCCAGAACACATATATTTTTATATAATACTGAACACAGAAGTTTTAAAATCTCTGTTTTTAAAAAATTCTCTGGTATTTTCTTTCATCTATCATCCTGATGGTTTTGCAGTTCTATTTTTATTTAAAGACACTGTAGTTTTAAAATCATCATCATCACTATCATAGTCACCAATCTAATTGTTATCCAATTTCATGTAAACAATAGGAAAACACACACACACACACACACACACACACACACATATGTGTATACACACGAAAATACCCACATATATTTAAAATATTGCCTGGTCATACAACTTCCTCATGTGTTATTTGCTATATTTTGTTCTGATGTGATACTCCAAAATATGTCCATTTTTCATCATGCTGGAGATCAAACTCAGTTGCCCATATGTGCCTTGCCCCTGACTTACCATTGAGATTCCCTGATCTTCTAGCCTCAGCTATATCACCTTGGCACCTGAGAAAGTAGCAGAAGCAGGAAAGTCATTCTCACCTTCCCGCTGTGTTTCTTCAAGAATGCTGTGAAGCTGGGCGGCGGTGGCACACGCCTTTAATCCCAGCACTTGGGAGGCAGAGGCAGGCAGATCTCTGTGAGTTCAAGGCCAGCTTGGGCTACCAAGTGAGTTCCAGGAAAGGCACAAAGCTACACAGAGAAACCCTGTCTCGAAAAACAAAACAAAACAAAACAAGACAAAAGAATGTTGTGACACTTTCTTTTCAGAAGTACCCTCTTTATTCCCAGAAGCAGGAATCCTTACCCCTGAAGATAAAAGGACACAGAAGGATGTGAACAGTTGTTAATATCTGATACTTTGCTATCAATAGCTCCTGCCTAATTTCCCTAGTCAGTCTTCTCTATGTTTACATAGTTCATCAAACCTAGAATCTTGAGGTCTTATTTTTCACAATGCCTCTTCTTGCACAGGGATGTTTATCTCATAAATTCAAATGCTTTACGTGTTAATTCATTCTTATAACGGTGGTGGCAGACATGAATATCGCAAGGCAATAATGAGTAAAAAATTTTTCCTCCTTTATAGAGTCCACATACCATTATACAAATACAAAATAGATGCTTATAATCCACTTAATTTTTCTACCACGTGCTATTAAAAAGAGATGGAATAATTTGGAAATATTGTGTTCTTGCTATTTAACAGTAGCAACAACAATTAAGAAATTGAGAGTAAATAATAACTTCAAGCACAACAGAATAGTTCTACCTTTACATGAATCTTCTTAATTTTAAAATTTTTGTGTTTATATATGAGTATTTTACCAACATGTGTGTCTGTGCATCATATGTATGCAGTACCTCCAGAGCCAAGGAGAGTGTCAGAACCCATGTGTCTTAGTTAGGGTTTTTTTTTTTTTTTTTTGGCTGTGAAGAGACACCATGACTATGGCCACTCTTATAAGGAAAACATTTAATTGGAGTGACTTTCTTACAGTTTCAGAAGTTCAGTCCATTATTATAATGAGGAACATGGATGCAAGCAGGCAGATGTGCTCCTAGAGCTGAGAGTGCTACATCTTGCAGGCAACAGAAGTCAAATGAGACACACTGGGCAAGTCCTGAGCATTGGAAACCTCCAATCTCCCGCCACTGTGTTAAATCTCAGATGTAGCTGCAGTAGGCAAGAAAATGCCCTTCCCTGTATTCTGAATGAGCAAACCCCCTGGAAATTGGTGCCAAGCTCTGATTAACTTATTGCTATATTCTTTTGAACCCAAATAAAGCATTTTCTTGGCTAAAATGAGCAAGCACTTCAAATCTTGAATCCAGTCACCCAATAGACACAGGTACATTTATTTCTTCCAAGCAAAAACAAGTCCTATTAAAACAAAGTCTATAATAAATGCTGGTGAGACCAGCTTTATCCATTCCAGCTCAAGAATGTTGATTAAAGTCTTTAGGCTGGATTTGCTTACCTCAGGTTCTAATAGAAAGTATTCACAGAGGAGGCACAGCTTGGGAAGAGTGGCATCAACTTTACAATTCATAAAGAGTAAATAGCAGCTGGTTCCGGGGAATATTTGTGTCTCTTTATCATGAGAAAACTATTAAACACCAGGGTCTTCTGTGCGTTGTTGTGTTTTCCATGTCCCCTGCAAAACTTGCATTTAGTTTTGACTGTTTTTTTTTAGCTTTATTCTTGAGCACTTCATGTATGTGTGTTCAATGAAATACTATCATGCTTGCCCCCATTTCATGCTTTACATCCTCCCATGCCTCTCTCAATAGGCCTCCCTCCCAAACTCATGCCTTTAAAACCAATCCACTAAGTCCACTTAGTGGGGTCTATGTGTGTATGAGTACAGATTTATCCACTGGCACATGGGAAAGCTACCAAGAGGCAAATCTTCAAAGAGGAATTACTCTCACATCTCCACAAACCATCAGTTGTCAACAGCTCCTCAGTAAGGAATGCCACTTGGAGATGATCTATTCCATCTTTGCTGGCTTGATAATGTACAGGGAGCCACAGCTGCAATGAGTTCATGAGTGCGATCGTGATGTCGTATTTCAGAAGGCACCATTTCAGAGCACTCCTGCCCATCCTCCAGTTCTCTACTCTTTCTGTATCCTCTTCTGTCATGTGCTCTGAGCCCTGAGGGGGAAGGAATTGATATACTGATTCTGCACTTTGAGTAGTTATGTGTCTTTCTGTTGACTGATGTGCAGAGCACAAAGAAGCTTGTCTGACCAAGGTTGAAAGTAATGTATATTTATGGGTATAAATATAAATAAATATCTAGGAACCTGTTTGACAGTATGACTAGTCAACAAAGCAATATCGGGTTCCACCCTTGGCCTATGAACTTGCCAACCATAAGATTTTTCTGGATTGAATACCAGGCATCAGATTTCTTCCTTTTGGGACAGGCCTAAGATTCAATTAGAAAATCATATCCTTTCTCCTTCAGCATCCTGGAGAGCACCTTCTAGCATTATAAAAGCTAGCTATCAGGGAAGAATTTTCTAGGTGGTTTCATATTGGTTTCTGTATATGCTATAGCCAGTGTGTGTTATCTTCAGCAATAGGGCCTTACCATGTAGTTATGGATGATAATCAAGGCAATAGCTTGGGGTGCTTTTCTTTAAACTCTGGTACCTACATAATAAACTCTCAGGGAGGTATCCTATACCTTGCACAGCTATTTTTACCAGTAACTCATGTATTCTGATTATAACTTTGTCTACCAGTATCATGTATTTCAGCTTAAACTCTGTCGTTTTATTTTTAAGGTTGCATTTCAAAATTAGCTTCTCAACTAGTAGGGTTATAGAAGGTATATAGATTTAGATTGGCAAACACACTAATTACTCACGCCTCTATCCATCCCCCATCCCTGCCTAATCCTTTAATCCCTAATGTGCCCCTGTTTTATTCATGTCTTTATATATGATACCATTCTTCCATTATTGTTTTTAACTGAGTTGTGAGATAGTATGTGTCTGTATGGTTTTCCATACATCTTTTGTTTGGGTTACCCCTTCCTTCATCCCTTTGTTTTCCCATATTTTCATGTTCTTCCCTTTCTGCTCCAAGTATTGCAACTTTCTATGTTTATTTTACTGTAATGTATTATCTACCTTTCCTTAATGTGACCATCAAAAAACAAACAAAAAAGCCACTTTGTACTTATAGTCTTATTTATTTTTTAATTAAAAAATTTTAGTTTTATTCATTTTACATACCAACCACAGATCACCTTCTCATCCCTCCTCCTGCTTCTCCCCAGACCCACCCCCCGAAAAAGGTAAGGCCTCCTATGGGGAGTCAGCAAAGCCTGGTACATTCAGTTGAGGTAGGACCAAGCTCTTCCCCCCTGCATTAAGTGTGAGCCAGGCATCTGACAATAGGTAATGAGCTCCAGATATATATATGGAAGTTATATAGAAATAATTGAAGGTCAGCTCTGTAATAAAACTAAAACTGAAGATCGAAACAAAGATGTAATAATATTGCATGTTTTTAAAAATTTTTGGTTGGAGATGAAGTGCTGAGTACATAAATGGGTAAACTAGGCCTCAGAATTTAAAATAGTTACAATTATGCCCTACAGGATTTTCACTTGTCTAAGATCTAATCAGTAAATATGAATCAGTTAACATACAAAGTGATATTCTTCCAGGAAAACCCTAGTTTCTGCAAACCATTGAATAAGCTTTATAATTTTCATTGAGACCTAATGGAACAGACCAAGACCTGGTTTCATTCATTATCCAACAAGGGTCCCATGAAGACTCATATGTTGGAATTGTGTACTTTTTTTGTTTGTTTGTTTGAGACAGGGTTTCTCTATGTAGCTTTGCACCTTTCCTGGAACTCACTCTGTTGCCCAGGGTGGCCTTGAACTCACAGAGATCCGCCTGCCTCTGCCTCCCGAGTGCTGGGATTAAAGGCGTGCGACACCACCGCCCGGCGTATTTGCACTTTCTTACAGCTGTCCTTCAATACTCCTCCCTGTACTCCATTCCTTTTTGTTCTTCCTTTATTCAAATTATTCCAGAGCAAGAAAGATGCAAGCTGTGGACTTTGTTACAGTGGTACCCTAAACAAAATAATTTACTCACTCCTTTCCTATCTACCTGCAGGGAAATATTTAGCCAACTTTTATTATGACATTATTGACATTGTATTTTAGAAGGCTCCTCTTTAATTTGACTATTGATTACATGTTTGAATATTTGGAGTGTTTAATTCTGACCCCTGAGATGATAACTTTCATTATTTGTTTGGTTGAAAATGTAAGACTTATGAAGACAAAATACCTTTTTTTTTTATTTTTCAAAGAATTCAAAGCACATAACTCACTGCCACATTTAAAATAGACCTTAATGCATATTAGCAGCATTGAAACTATTAACAGTGGACTGGGAAAAAAAATACACTTTCTTTCCCTAGACTTACTATGTTCCAAATGAATTTAGATTTTGATCTTGATTCTTCTTCCATATATAAGCCTAAAATACAAGCAATATTTTTTTCTCTTTGCCTTATATATTTAATTTTCAGAATTCTCAAGTGTATGGCACTTAATTAAACTAAAATTAATTTCATCAAAATGGCCATTGATGAACTGGAAAATACTATAGGAAGAAAACTTTAATAAAAATTACAGTGTCAGGTTTTTACTTTATTTTCAGTTATCTTTATTTTTCTTAACCAATTATTTGATTATTATAAAATTGGTAAGTTACTCTCTCATTATATGAGAGAATGCTTTAAAACCTTTTCTAATATTTGTGTATTAATTTAGTAACTTTTTAATATTGGTTTGAATTATTTATTTTATTTTACAGGATAACTTAAAGGAAACCTATCTGAATATCTGATAACTATTTATATTATTATTTGTGTACACGTTTAAGCTTGGAATCCCAAAGGTCTATTCTGATACCCATTAATCTTTTTGTGTGTGCATGTGTGTATACTGTTAAGAATGGAATTAAGACAGGCTCTCTGCCACTTGGGCTAAATCTCACACAGATTTAGAAATTCTTGAGAGGCTCACATTTTAATTGACTGAGAATGCAATACAGAGGAAAAATACATAAATCGGGAACAATTTTAAGCAGTAAAGATATGCGTTATCTATGTGATAATCGAGTGATGAGGAACCATTCATCCTGGCAGAGCTGTGTCTACAGTAGCTTGTCTCTGATTCCTTTGTTTGCCTCCTGACTTTGAAATGATTTCTGAAACAAGTAAAGTAGCAACCTCATTTTCTATGTTCATTTGCATAATTGCCATCATAACTTCTTTTATCTTCCATCCGTGTGTGACAAAAAGCTCAGAATGTTTTTATACAATCACTACTTTTTACACGCTTTTCCAAAGAACTATTTAAAAAGTTGGTGATTCTGGGGCTCATCCTTATAATTATTAAACTAAGAGAAAACAGGTGTCTTTTAACAGTATGAACACTTAGAATAAATTGGGCAGTAATTTAAACACTTAGTATAAAGAAGAAAATATATAATAGGGACTCATTATGACATGCCTTAATTTGGTATTGGAATATAAATAAGATTAAAATACAGGAATACTGAATAAAAATCAACCCCTTTGACTATGATTTTAATGACTGATACAAGTTTCTTTGAAATTAAAACAAACATTGGATAAAGAAGATAAGCTTTCCACTCTCAATCTTGAGCAAATTATGGTATTTTGACTTTAGCATATCTGAGATAAACTAGCAGACAAACAAAACCAGTCATAGTTTGATAGTGAGTTGAATATAAGGCTGCATAAGTAACAGATTTTACCTCCAAAGTAGTAATTTCTTCATAGGAGTGTGTGTGTGTGTATTTTGTGTGTGAAGCCTGTGTTTCCTGTATGTGTGTCC